ATGGGACATTATGCAGCTGTAAAGAGAAACAAAGACCCATTGCATACCACAGCATGGATGAACCTTGAAAACGTGACGCTGAGCTTAGTAAGTTGCAAAAGGACAAGTATTACATGATCTTACTTCAGTCTTCCTTATTCATTGTCCAACTTTCACATGGATATAAGGCGGTTGAAAAAGACCATGGCTTGCTTGGGTCAGGCGTACTTTAGTCCTTAAAGTGACTTCTTTGCTTTTTAACACTTCAAAGAGGTGTTTTTGCAGCAGATTTGCCCAATGCGGTGCGTCATTTGATTTCTTGACTGCTGCTTCCATGGGCGTCGATTGTGGATCCAAGAAAAATGAAACCCTTGACAACTTCAGTCTTTTCTCTGTTTATCAGTGATGTTGCTTATTGGTCCAGTTGTGAGGATTTTTCTTGTCTTTATGTTGAGGTGTAATCCATATTGAAGACTGTAGTCTTGATCTTCATCAGTAAGTGCTTCAAGTCCTCGTCACTTTCACCAAGCAAGGTTGTGTCATCTGCATATTGCAGGTTGTTAATGAGTCTTCCTTCAATCCTAATACCCCATTATTCTTCATATAATCTAGCTTCTCAGATTATTTGCTAAGCATACAGATTGAATAAGCATGGTGAAAGGATACAACCCTGACGCACATCATTGTTGACTTTAACCACTCAGTATCCCCGTTGTTCTTTTCGAACAACTGCCTCTTGGTCTATGTACAGGTTCCTCATGAGCACAATTAAGTATTCTGGAATTTCCATTCTTTGCAGTGTTATCCATAATTGATTATGATCCACACAGTCGAATGCTTTGCATAGTCAATAAAACAGCAGGTAAACATTTTTCTGGAATTTTCTGCTTTTAGCCATGATTCATCTGACATCAGCAATGATACCCGTTATTCCACGTCCTCTTCTGAATCCAGCTTGAATTTCTGGCTGTTCCCTGTTGATGTACTGCTGCAACTGCTTTTGAATGATCCTCAGCAAAATTTTACTTGTGTGTGATAGTATTGATATTGTTTCATAATTTCCATGTTATGTTCCGTGTTCTTTGGAATGGGTACAAATATGGATCTCTTCCAGTCAGTTGGCCAGGTAGCTGTCTTCTGAATTTCTTGACATAGACCAGTGAGCACCTCCAGCGCATTAGAAGGTTCAAAAAGTAAATTCGCATAGAGTTTTAGCCTTGTAGGTATACTGATACATGTAAGCTGGGCTTAAACAAAAATTTTTTTTGTTGTTATAACTATCTATAGGATTATTTTTATAAAAAATAAATTTCTGCTGAAACACTGCACAAAAATTTTATGGACAGTCATTTTAGTGTCGCCCCTTTTGACATCATCACCCAGTACAGTGCGCATCCCCATAGTGATGCCACTGAAGCTGATTCTGTTATTTATATGGAAATGCAAAGGACCTAGAATAGGTAAAGCACTTTTCAAAAAGAATGAAGTTGTAGGACTTACACTGTTGAGTTTCAGGTTTTTCTGTACAACTACAGTAATCAAGACAGAATGGTATTCCTGTAAGAACAGACGTGTAGATCATTGGAACACAATAGAGAGTTTAGATAGAGACGCACATATATATTCAGTTATTTTTGACAAAGGTGCCAGTGTAATTCACTGGTTAAAGGATATAGTCTTTTCTAAAAATGATGCTGTATGTCTCAGTGAAAGAAAAATTAATATTGATTCTTAGCTCACACTAAGAAAATTAACTCTAAATGGATCAGAGACCTAAACAGAAAAGTTAAGACTATAAAACTTCTAGAAGAAAACAAAGGAGAGAACATTTACCATCTTGGATTAGGCAAAGATTTAGATAGGAGAAAACACGGACCATAAAAGGGAAATTGATAAATTGGAAATGACCATAAAAGGGAAATTGATAAATTGGAAATTGTTGCACTTAAAACTTTTTGCCCCTTAGAAAACGTCGTTATGAAAATGAATAGACAAGGCACAGACTTGGAGAAGATATTCACGACATGTATATATTAGACAAAGGACTTGTTATTCAGAATGTATAAGGAATTCTTATAATACAAAACAACAGCAAACAACCCATTGCTGTTGAGTCAATTCCAACTCATAGCAACCTATAGGACAAAGTAGAACTGCCCCCATAGGGTTTCCAAGGAGCGGCTGGGGGATTTGAACTGCCAACCTTTGGGTTAGCAGCCAGACGCTTAACCTTTGCACCACCAGGGCTCCAAGTCATTAGGGAAATGCACATGAAAACCACTGAGGCACTACTACACATCCACTAGAATGGTTGTAATTGAAAATGTTGTCGAGGTGGAGCAGCTGAACTCTCATACAGTGCTGATGAGAGTGGAAAATAGTTTGACAGTTGGAATTCATTCACATGAAATTCTAGAAAAGGCACAGCTAATCTGTATGATAGGAAACAGATCAGTGGTTGTGTGGGATGGGGTTGGGGGTTAGAAGAATTTCTTGCTGAGCCACACAAAGGAGTTTTTTAGGGTGATGGAAATGCTTTACATACTGATTTTGGTATTGGTTACTTGGATGTATACAATTGTCAAAATTCCTCAAATGTACACTTAAAATGAGTGCATTTTCTTTCGTTGAATATTCTTCAATAAAGTTGATTAAACAAACAAAATATCCTCCTATTTCCTACTTGCTCCATATCAGCCTAGAGGAATAGGCCCTGCTGTGGAAGGAAATTAAGTTTAGCATGTGTTTGTTGATTGGCTATATATAAATAGTTCAGTTTTTGTGAGATATATTGTCTAACAAAGAGGAACAAAGGTAACTCTGCTTTTAGAAGGTAGCTAAAGGGAACTTTTGAGGTCATTTAATCCAGACCGTTGATTTAACAGATGAGGAAACTCAGGTACCAGGTTATCGGAGAGCCACTAGGTAGGAGATTTCACAACTTGTCTTGTGAATCATTTAAACCGTAATAAAGTTAGTGTTTGCATTTGGGCATTCATTGTTTTGTGAATACATAGTGGTTAATGTTAGGCTTATGAACAAGTCTTTTCCCTGTTGTTGATCTGTTTGTGGCAAGCTACACAGCCATTCATATTTTGTGTGGAAGAACAGATAGGTATTTGGTTTTGTGGCTTTATTAAACTGTTTAATAACAAGCCGGTCTAAAGTTTGGACTCTGAGTGGTTTCCCCAGATTAATGGATATATACACATCCAACAAAACAAAACTAAACACTGGAATTTATCATCTTTTTTAACAGTGGGTTTTTATAACTATTGTCCAATGAATTTTGGTATTTCTCCTTCTGTTTTATTTTCAATTTTCATAAATCAATTTAAACATTTTCCCCCTACTTTATTTTGAAACTTGCTAGCTGAACCTACTCATGAAATCACTGTTTTCATTTTTAGTGCTTACTTTTTGTAGCATCGACATTTTATGTGGTTCTTGGCAAGTTTGTATCAGGTCTGGAAGACTCATTAGCTCAGATGCAGTGACCACTTTGAAAAGGTAACTTGGAAGAATGTCCAAGCAATGGCTAAATGATGCAGTGGAATGCTAAGCTCAGGTACCTAGACAGATTAAGATCTGGGAAGGCCTGGCATATACTGTCTACACTGACATTCTTGGCATAGTTTGCTCAACAACTTTCTTTCTTCCCACTTGAGCAAATGTTTATTGAGTACTTGCTCTGTGCCTGACATTGTAACTGGCACTATGGATATAGAAATGCATATAACATAGTTCCTACCCTTAAGGAACTCATAGTCTAAAATGGGATAAAGACATGCAAACAAAATTGTAAGTGTAGTCAGTGGTCTAAGTGTATAGAAAATATAGAGATCTTACACAGGGAGAGACATATGAACTCGAGTATGGCAGGAGGATCAGAGAAGGATTCCTTCAGATAATGTCTAAGCTAAATTTTCTAGGTAGAATATAATTTGTCAGTGGTAAGATAGATATATTACAGGTAGTGAGATCATCATGTAAGGCAGGCACAGGTGTATGAAAGAACGTGGTATGTTCAAGAAACATAATCAGATAATTCATGTTGAGCATAAAGCTTGAGGATTGATAGATGAGAGCTGTATTTCCTGTCTTTGTCAAATGTTGCCTGGAAAAGCAGCCCAGGAGAATTAATGACATCGTAGAGGCAAAGACTAGACTTGAATAATATCACTGGAATCAATTGTAAGGCTAGTACATATATGGTGTTTCTGTTTCTAATAGAGGTATATATCCTTCCCCTTATTCCCTCGTTTACTCTCTCCTTCCTCGTGTGTGTCTCTGTGTGTATGTGTGTGTGTGTGTGTGTGTTTGGAGAATCAGGATATTTGAGGGAGGAAAGAACTAAGAATCAAGACCTTGATTCTAGTCCTGGCTCTCATATCCTTGTTTGGGCAAACCACTTTACCTTTCTGATCTTTGGTCTCCTTATCTGTATAATATACACAAACTGTATGATCTAAATAAAATTCTTTAGACTTGGAGGTCATATGTTACTGTAACTGCTATGTGTTTAATTAAGACCTGTTGCCTGTTGAGTTGATTCTGACTCATAGTGACCCTGCTGGACAGAGTAGAACTGTCCCATAAGGTTTCCAAGGGGAGCAACTGTTACATTCGAACTGCCAGCCTTTTTGGTTAGCAGCCAAACTCTTAACCACTATGCCACCAGGGCTGTGTTTAATTCAGAATTAGTATATAGTTTTAAAAAGAATTAGTATATATTTTAAAAAGTATTCAATTGGTTATTTTTTTAATTTGGCTGTGGCAGTGGTTCTAGGACTTGGGTTTTTTTTGTTCTCTTTAATAATCTGGTTATTATGGACTTTTTTCTTAATGTAAATTTTACTTCTTCTCATTTCAAAACTGCTCTTTCTGTTCATGCTAGTTTTCCACTCTTGTATTTGCAGAATGTTTGCTTTAGAAGCAGAGGATTATAAAAATCCATTTTAATGTTATACACTTGCTGCAGTATACTATTAATATATATATATATATTTTTTAACCTTCAGGGGTCCTATTGGGCAATAGACACCAATCCGAAGGAAGATGCGCTGCCTACTCGGCCAAAGAAGAGGGCACGATCTGTAGAACGGGTAAAAGCTGTTTATTGGAACTTCAGTATGACCAGGTTAAAATGTCAGAAATACAGTTTTTTAAAATTTTTTTGTTGTTGTTAAGAATATACACAGCAAAAATACACTAATTCAGCTGTTTCTACATGTGCAATTCAGTGACATTGATAATATACTTTGAGTTGTGTAACTATTCTTACCCTCCTTTTCTGAGTTGTTCCTCCCCCATTAACATAAACTTATTGCTCCTTAAGCTTCCTGTCTAATCTTCCAAGTAGCTGTTATCAGTTTGATCCCACATAAACCCGTTGCCATTGAGTCGATTCCGACTCATAGCGACCCTATAGTGCAGAGTAGCACTGCCCCATAGGATTTCCAACTGCTGACCTTTTGGATAGCAGCTGAGCTATCCCACATAGATAGTTTTTAAAAGAGCCTAATGCTCAAGGCAGACATTTTTAACTAGTTAAGCTAAACTATTGCTTTTAAGAAAGGAATACAGATTAAAAAATAATAATAATATTGCATTTTTGGTAATTACACAGCAAGTTAGGTTCCCATTTGACAGTTTCCACACAAATTGTTCAGTGACATTAGTTACATTTATCACAATCTAAACATTCTTTTTTTTGAGCAGTTTCTATATGTACAGTTTAGTGACATTGATTACATTCTTTGAGTTGTGCAACCATTCTCACCCTCCTTTTCTGAGTTGTTTCTCCTCATTAACGTAAAGGAAATACAGATTTTAAGAGTTCATTTCCAATATAGCAAGTATAAACATAACAGAGGTAAGATTTTATATTTGTATAGCATTTTGTATTTTTCAGCTCCCTTTTCAGACCCATTATTTTATTTGATCTTAACTCTTTGAGTTAGGTGAACATTTTAGGAAATTAAGTAAACGGTTTTTCCTAATTAGGGCATAGCTGTTGTCTAACTGAGACTTGATTTCAGATCTCTTGAGTTTTAATTTGATAGTCTTTTCTCTGCATTGTCGACATTGAGGACTGGTTTTATATAACAGACCTGTTCTCTTTCACTGCAGATGATCAGTATGCTTACATTGAATTTTCCTAATTGTCCTCAAAATGCTTTTTCCTGCTTTCATCTACGTAATAATCATTCTGTACAAAATATCTCTAAGTGCGTGTGTGTTGTTTGTAAGATAATTCTTACTTGTAAATTCATGATTAAAATTAATTTTGTAAGAATGAAAAAGGGAGCTGTAGTGGATATCGTAAGTTGTTTATCTTAACATATTTTATTCGGCCCTTTGTTTGCCAGGAGGCATTACTTCAGTTTTCCTTGTTACCTTTTCTACGTTTTCAACTAAAAACCATATACTAACACACATGTATTCGCACACCCCATACTATTCTTCAAGATCCAAATGATAACCACGTTGTGAGGCCGTTCCTCACTTCTTCATTTGTGTTCCCATGGAATTTTTACAAAGGTCTTTTATAGAATTTCTCACACTTTATAGTACCTATTTATTTCTATGTTTGACTCTTTCACTGGGCCGAGGTCCTCTTAAGGGCAGAGAAAATATCTTATTTATATTTGTAACTCCAGTGGTTAGCATTTTTCATGGCTTATAATAGGTGCCAGTAAACATTTGCAGAATAGATCGGGACAAAGAGAATAAGATGACAGAAACTGGGAGTGGACATTTGGTCAGATAACTTGTTCTATGCCCATTGCTGGTAGAAGGATAAAACATCCCAGCCTCAAGGATAAGGACCTCAAATTGGCTTTAAGTTGGGATCATGTGAGTCCATGAGGTATAGGAGCAGTGGGATTTAGTCAGGCAGATTTATTGAAGCTAGCAAAAGAAATTCAGTAAGGCAGTTGTCAAGCTATATAGAATTAAGGGTGAGGTGGCATAATGGTTAAGAGCTCAGCTGCTAACCAGAAGGTCGGCAGTTCAAATCCACCAGCTGCTCCTTGAAACCTATGGGATAGTTCTGCTCTGTCCTATAGGGTTGCTGTGAGTCAGAATCGACTCGATGGCGGCGGTCCCCACCCCCCTTAGGCCAGAACAATTTTTGGCTTTTTGCAAACCAAAGTTTAAGAAGTTGAAGTTTAGTGTTCTGACTTAGTCTTCTAGTAATAGAGGTAGACAATTTTAAGACTGAGATGTTGAGATGTAATGGTTTGAGAGGAAGTGAGCCTCGATTCCTGCCCTCCTGCCTCTGCCTTTTAAAACAGACTTAGCATATGGACTTTGATTATGTGAAAATGTGGAGTACAAAACGTATTCAGCATTTATGCCAAAATTCGAAGGAAGGGGAGAAAAATCCCCACTGCTTAATTAACCCAGAGCATCAGCATACGACTTGGAAAGGATGTGTGTCTTAAAGGGCTGAGGAATTGTGATCTTCTCTACCATTTTCTCTCTTCTTTTGAAGTTCCTGGAACTTGAATTATTCTTCAAAGTTGCAGTTTGTGGTTGGGTTGACAACTGTGCGTTCCTTTTGGATATTAAGCCTGCCTTTTATTCTGTTACTTTGTTTCATAGTTCTTAGAGCAGTACCCCTTTATTTCTATGAGAGCCCCCCTTTACTTTGAGATTAGACTATATTGCCAGTTTTATAATGGAAGTCTGTAGAAATATAGGAGTCCCTCAGTGGTGCAAACGGTTAACATACTCAGCTGCTAAATGAAAGGCTGGAGGTTTGAGTCCACCCAGAGGCGCCTTGGAAGAAAGGCCTAGTCTCTACTTCTGAAAAATCAGCCATTGAAAACCCTGTGAAGCACAGTTCTAGTCTGACACAAATGGGGCTGCCGTGATTCAGAATCAATTCGACAACTGGTTTTGGTTGTAAAAATAAAGAATTCAGATTACAAAAGTATGTTTTACCCATAAAGCATGTGTTTTTGAATGTACATTTTGGAATATGCTTTCTAGATTCATTTTCCACTCCTTATTGTTAATCTTCATTTTAAGTTTAAGACATAAAAACGTTAACAATTTACCTTTGTGGTGTAGTTTCGTAAAATACTCATACACTATGAGAACCTTTCAGTTAGTAATATTGGCTATTTTGACCTGAGCTGTGAATTGGTTGCCACTACAGGAGAGAAACGTATAGAAAGAGGCTAACTGTCAGCAAAGTACGTATAAGCGGGGGAACAAATGTTGTTTAACAAATACCCTGGAAGATAGTGTTCCTACAAAACAAAATTTCTTGCCCTGATAAACTGATGTGTCGGTTTTTTGTTTTTTTTTTTTTTTAAATTTAGAGGCATTTTTGGAAGGAGGGTGAGAGGGTGAAAGGCCTTCTGATATATAGTATTTTTTATTAGGGCCAAACCAAACAGAGTTTACCTTTTGAGTAACCATTGGGTTTTGTATAAAGAAATGCCTAGGACAGTCAAGTAGTGATGATTTGTAATATGATCTTTAGACATTTGAAGTTTTCTCAAAAACCAAGCAGGACCAATGAGTTGAAAACTTAAAGAATAAAATAACTTTTAAATGTAGATGGTAAATATGTTGACATTCCTAAAAATACCTTATTAAATTTCTGAAATTGGTTATTCCTTTATCAATGTGTGAACATCAGAATACTATATGAAAAATAAAAACATTTCACATATTTTTAAGTTTGAAGAGAAATGAGCTTTTAATGGAACAGGAAAAGCTTTCTAAACTGCTAAAGAGAATTGATTTTAAAAAATGCAGGACATAACCAGTCACCTCATGGGATAAGTTCTCTTTGAGGGCTTAGGGCCATGGTCTTATGGGACAATCCAGTCAATAGGCATAATATAGTTCTTAAAGATTATATTCTATCTCCCAGTATGGTGAGTAGTGTCTGGAGTCATAAAAGCTTATGAGTGGCCATCTAAGATACAGCTATTGGTCCTTATTCATCTGTAACAAAGGAGAAAGAAGGAAACCCAGGAGTCAGAGAAGGAACTGGACTACAGGACTAATTGTCTACATGAACCACTGCCTTCTCCAGCTTGAGACCAGAAGAACTAGATGGTGCCTGGCTACCACTACTGACGATTCTGATTAGGAATACAATAGATGAATCCTGATAAAAAGGGAGAAAAGTGTAGAGCAGAACTTCAAATTTTTTAGGAAAGAATCCAGACTTAACTGGATCTCTTGAGGCTGGCGGAGTCCCTGTAACCGTGGCCCTGAGTTGCTCTTTAAACCTTGAATTACAGCTATCTCCTGAAGTCGCCGTTAACTAACAGTTTAGCCCAAAGACTAAAGATTGTCACCCTTGAGTATTGCTTTAAAAAAAAAAAAAAAAAAATTATTTTTTATTTTTAAATAAAACCAAAGGGTCAACAGCTATTTTGAAGCATAGATGGGAAGGTTGGGGGGCAGGGAGATGAAGTTAATGGAAATGAAATAACTAGAACAGAAATAATGAGAATGTTAACACAATGTGAAGAATGTAACTAATGTCATTGGTCATTTTGTCTATAAACTGTGGAATGATAGTGGGTTTTGCTGTGTATATTTTCACCAAAAATAGAAAAAATTTAAAAGCAAATGCAAGCAGCAACGTCTTCATGTCCTAAAAGAAAAATCAAGCCTGATAATTATATTCAGCCTAACATTCTTAACTCATTTCTTTGGACCATGTCCTTGTCCGTTCTTCCATTTACAGGAACGTAAGCCCATGCTCTCTCTTCCATCATTACAGTATTCCTTTCTTCTTTCCTTAATCCTTGAGTATATAAATGTATCTCTTTTTCCTTTTTCTAATTTCTTTCATCTTCTTAGCACTTTTCCTTTATCATAAAATAGACTTGAAGACCTAAAATAAAGTTTAGCAAGGTGAGATGGGTAGACTCATTGACCAGGAGTCCTGGGTTTCTCTTCTGGCTTTACAACTTACTAGCTCTTGTGACTCTTGGCAAGTTGTTAAATTTTTTTATCTTAAGTGTTTCAACTATAAAGTGACAGGTTAGAAGTCGTAACAGTATAATAATAATAATAGATATATATTGTGTTTATGTGCTAGATGCTTTTTAAAGGATTTTTACACATA